CGTGTGTTTCTTTTCGTTTTATCTACAATTTTGAAATTAAGTCAATGTGGAAGGGAATGTTTCTCACCAAGGTGTACCCTGGTGTCTTGATTTGAGGTGGTTTTCTGCAGAGGAAGTTGTGATGCCTTGTAAGTGGGCTATTCACATTGCAGCCTTTTGTTGGGGAAAGTAATCCTAGAGCTTTGATCCACTGAAGGGACTCAGGCAGTCATGCGGTGGACCCAGACAGATCTGAGCCAGCAACTTAGAGTCCATAGTCAAAGAACATTTGGCTGGGGCTCTTCCTCCTTCCTATAGTCTCTTAGAAAACCATATAAAGAGATGAACTTAAGGCAACAGTACATGTCCCCAATTTTGACACTCTCCCAGTCTCATCTGAAGAATTTATCTTAAAAGACAGCCTGTATATCCAGGCGCTCCCAGTTTCCTTTTATATAGCATACTATTAGCAGCAAATGAAACTAATCTCTTCTTTATTGGGGCTTTAAAGACACAGAAAGAAGATGGCCCTTGGAGAACGAACGTTAAAGCACAAAAACAATAGCGGGAAGGCTTTAGTAATCTAATTATACAGCTTTAGAGTTTTCTATTTTGCACATTTCCTAACTTGAATACTCTTTGAAATGCCATTTTGTGTCAAATATGACAGGTGATGTCATAAACAACCAATTTCAGGTTGGGATGACAGCATATTACTTGTGTTTTGTTAACAAATACATGGATGTAAATTGGTTTAAAGTGCATATTAATCTTTATTGGGCAAAGAGATAAATATTTTGCCCCTGTTAATGTTTAACTCCAGGAGCAGTAAATCTGTTAAGCCCACAGAAACATGAAGTCATTGCACAATGAGGCAGTACATTATAAATGGGTTCTGCAGAAGTGATTTATGCATCAGACTTTTATGGCACTGAATTTCAAAACCTCATAAAAAGTCACTTTAGAGAAATGTCATGCTGACCTGTGTGCGAGAGGTAAAAGCTGTCTGTGTGCTCACTCCCATTCCAACTGGAGTTTCAGTTACAGATGCATTTGAAGACTTGTGCACCGCAGATAGCTGGCGCTTGTTAACTCAGTGAATATGTAATATACATGTGGACTTATCTATTAATGACCTTTCTAAACTTTGAATTTTTTTTTTGCCCCACATGACATAGTTTATTTCTCCCGTGTCACTGATCCTTCTTATTGTACAGTTGCAAAAACATTAGTGTGTCTAGGTCATTGTCTCACAATAGTTACAAACTTAATGTATTTAGTTTAAAAACTCATAGCAAAGCATCTTTAATATATGGCTGTTTTAATATTTTGGCATCTCCTACACATTGACTTATCACAGAAGATTTTGTCTTTATTTTACTTTAAATGAAGTACTGTTTTCAGAGATGATTTCCTTAAATCCATCTGCACTGAAAGAATGTAATTAATCTGACATTTTGTAAAGGTTTCATTGAATTATATTCTTGTCTTATGCTGCACAGGGGTAAGTACTGATAACTGTTCAGCTAAGATTAGCTTTAGGATGTGTTAAGGAAAAAGATAACAGTACATATTTTATGATCAATATATTTTAATTAGTCAATTTTCAGATGAACTTGTCCATCTGTAACTCATAGTCAGGATATGCCCAAGTACAAATAATATAATTCAGATGAATAGAAGACTTTTGAATATATCTGTGAGAAGCTTGTAGCCAAGAACATGTTGATGTGTGTGTGACCTACTATGTCAACATACTCCACAGTCCTCAGGGCCAAGGGAAGCTTGACTTGGACTTTAAAAAAAACAAATAATTCCTCTTTTAAGCTTTTTCTTTCTGACTAAAGTAATTTTGTTATCATTTGTTTATTAGCCACAATGACTTAATTTAGACTCCAAAGTAAACATGTCTCTTTCTTGGGAAAATTTACAATTTTTACTTTGCAGATGGCCGAGCTCATGAGTAAATACTTGTTTAGGGCATGTGGACACCTGTTTCAACGTTTAAAAAATGGATGAAGTCTACCATGGCAGATCGCTGCTTTATGGGCAATCGAAGTGCACGTTTGCCCAAAGGGAAGAAATGTGTTGAAATTTGCTTTCCAGGGCTTTCTCTCCTTCCTCGCCCCATGATTCTGTTATTAACTGCTCAGTGAACCCTGATTGCTCTTTGGGCTGACGAGGGAGGGGGACTTGATTGCGGGAGGGGGAGGGAAAGGGAAGGCAGCGGTGGGGAAGAGACAGAAATCTTTAATAAATAAATAAATAAATAAATTAAAAAAAAAGACAAAAAAAACCTTCACTTTGAAACAACAATGGAGGAACTTATTTAAGATGCATTTCCCTTTCCTCAAGTTAATCATTTCAGAAGTGCTTCAGGCCAGCATGAGCTGCCCCCGGAATCTCCAGTGTCTCTTCTTGACTCCAGTGGTTTCTTCTCGTAGTGTCTTTTGTCTTCAAAACCTATCTCTGCCATCCACTCATTTGCTTTCTAACAGGAAAAGGAAAAAGAAATGTTTGCCTTTGTTGAGTTTTTCTCTCATTCGCCTCCATACTTTAGCAACTTCCTGATCTTTTTGTGCCAAGAATACAAAAATAATTTTCAAAAACTTTTCAAATGCATGTTTATGATGTGTGTGTGAGTGCATGCCACTGTAGAAGCCAGAGGACAACCTTGGGCATTAGTCCTTGCCTTCTGCCTTGTTCGAGACACAGTCTGTCTTTGGCATTCATCTCTGCATACATTACGCTAGATGCCTCATGAGATTCTCCAGGTTCTTGATGCAGGAATGCTGGGATTACAGTATGTTCTTCAGTGCCCCTCGCAGGGATCCTGGGGATTTGAACTCGCATCCTTGTATGTGTGAAATAAACATTTTAACCCCTAAGTAATTTCTCTATCCCACAAAAATAATTCTAATGTCAATTTATTGATAGAGACGCTGATAATGGAGATTTTAACTATGAAAAGACCAGGCAAGGAGCTGCCTTGTTTTTTAAGAAATTCTCAAATGTCCATCAGTAGGCCTTTTCTGGTATCATGCTTGTGGTTGGAGTTGTTTCATCTTTAAAACACACACACACACACACACACACACACACACACACACACGGTAAGCATTGGGGATAAAAGAAAGGGAGGGAGAGAGGGAGGAAAAGCAAGCTGTTTTCACTGACTTGCCATAGGTTACAGAGCAAACAGCCATCCCCCAATCTGGACAGGGACAGAGACTTTCAGTGAGTCTCAGTGAGACTCAGAACAAGCATTTGTTCATGGAAGCCAGATGCTTTTTTTTTCTTTTGAGACAGTGTTTCTCTGGGTAACATTCTTAGTTGTCTTGGAACTCTCTTTGTATACCAGGCTAGCCTTGAACTCACAGATATCCGCCTATCTCCCACGTGCTGGGCTAAAGGCCTGTGCTACCATGCCTGGCATCTGGATGCTTTTAGGAAGGCCAGCTAGAGATCTGGGTGAATTGCTGCAAGTGGGGGGTAAGAAGTTTCTAGACCTGCATACGCAGCAGCAGCTTTTTACCCCTCTGCTCAACACTGCCTGTGATGTCACCTTCCACAGAACCGAGTGTGTCTGGTCTGGCCATCAGAGGCATTCTCAGGGTGAGCTTTTCTTCTCATCAATAATGCTTTCTGAAGTTACTCTGTTACCTTTGCCCGAGGCTGCCATCACAACATACTGTTAGCTGAAAATAACCTCTGACCAGAAAGAATATGCAGTAGGAATCTGGGCATTGTGTGTCTGCATACAGACAGCGGAAGAAAGTATGACTCATATTTAAGCTAGAGATTGTGGGTGATGTTTTCTATTTGTATTTTCTACACTGCTGAGGAAAAAAAAGTATTTAAGACAATTCTCGAAACAGAACTGTATTCTTGTAATTAATCATCAGGAAGTAAAAAGTTTTCCTCTTTTCGGCAGCTCCTTCTCATGTAGATGTTTAGAATCAATCCTAAATACTCTCCTGCCACTCGGCACAGCTCTGCACAGCCACACTCTGGTCAGCATGCTCTGCTAACCTCAGGGCTCAGTGTGGATCCTCTTTGGGGCTGCAGGTGTGGTTAAGGTGGTTCTTGGAATTTTGTTCTGTTGTTCTCCCAGGCAAGGAGGCTTTTGTGGGACAGGGTGGAAGTTTAATCCTCAGGAAATTCTGAGGTGCTCTTAGTCAATGGAACTCAATTCTGAGGAACTTGAAAAACTCCACTGTGTTGCTACACCCATACCAGTTAAATTCTAGTGTCTGGGGACAGGCCCCAACAGCTATAGTTTTTAAAGCTCTCTAGAAATTTCAATATTCAGTGAGGTTGCAAGACCTTATGCTAAAAGAACTGCTTTGAGCTTCAGGGCCAACCTGGAAAAGAAATTCTGTCCCCACTATTATTTCAATACTTATTTTGGGGGATTTGGGAGTAAATAAAGGCCTTGTGCAGCTTATGTGCAAATGCACGTGTGTAAGCAAGCACACATGTGCATACACCCACCTGCCTTGCTGTGACAATTTTGAATGCTCAGAGGAAAGGCATCTTCTCTTGTTTTATATGTATTCTATGCCTGGAGCAGTGCCTGTCCCATAACTTATCAAGAAGTAAAATTACTGTTCATGTTGTTTCCCCAATGGTATTGAAAATGGACAATGACTGCTAAGTGATCGTGCCATTATTTTACATTTCTTGATTTTGGAAATTTTGTATTTATTTATTTATTTATTTATTATTGAAAGAAAAATTTCTGCCTCCTTCCAGCCACTCATTTCCCTCCCCCTCCCCCCCCCCCCCCCCCCCCCCCCCCCCCCCCCCCCCCCCCCCCCCCCCCCCCCCCCCCCCCCCCCCCCCCCCCCCCCCCCCC